AAATAAATTGCGTCGTATTATGTAGTGATTTCTCAAAAATTACCTGGACTAATGTAATCAGTTTCAACGAAGGTAAGACTAATAAGTCATTTGAAGAATTTTTCTCAAGTTTCAATTCTCTTTTAGATAAACATGCACTATTGAAAGAAGTCAGCAATCGCTGTTTATCAAGGGATCTCAAACCTTGGATAACACGAGGAATCTTGACTTCTAATAAAATGCGAAATAAAATATTTAACAAATTTCTTAAAGCAAAGAATCCTAATAACAAACTCAATCTAGAAAAATCTTATAAAACATATAGAAACTTACTTGTTACTCTCACCCGTCGTAGTAAAAAGAACCATTACTCTAAGTTCTTCTCTGAAAATGCCAAAAATTTGAAATCTACATGGGATGGTATTAAGAACCTTTTAAACATTAGTTCGAGAGTTAACTTATCTCCTTCATGCTTATCTTCTACCAACTCCATGATATACGACCCCATTAAAATTTTGGAATCTTTTAATTCATTCTTTGTTTCAGTTCCGGAAGATTTACAGAATAAGATCCACTCATCCAATAGTGACTTTAATAAATATCTTAAAAATCCTAATCTTAATTCAATGTTCATAAAACCTACAGACAAAAACGAAGTATTATCGATTATTCATTCTTTTAATGACAGCAAGGCTTCGGGACCTAACAGCATTCCAATACCTATTTTTAAAGATCTTGCAAATGATATCTCTCCTGTACTTTCTGAACTATTTAATCTGTCATTCACAACCGGTGTATTCCCTGATATTTTAAAAACTGCTTCTGTTATCCCAATTCATAAAAAAGACTCAAAACTTGAATGTAATAACTAGAGACCAATTGCTTGTTTTCATATTCGACAATTTGGGTTTCGCTCAAATCACTCCACTTCTCACGCTCTTATTAGCATTACTGAAATAGTTCGTGTTGCAATTGACAGTGGTTTTTTTGCTTGTGGTGTATTCATAGATCTTCAAAAAGCTTTTGATACGGTTGATCACAACATTCTAATAAAAAAGTTAAACTACTACGGATCACGTGGTATTGCTAATCATTGGTTTTCTTCATATATTACGGATCGCACTCAGTTTATTTCAATTAATGGATTTGAATCCGCACATAAAGTTATTAAATATGGCGTTCCACAACTTTCCTTTTTTGGACCGTTGTTGTTCTTATTATATATAAATGATTTATCTTGTTCATTAAAAAATTCTATGATACATCATTATGCTGACGATATCTTTTATATATTAACAAATCCCTCACGATTCTTTGTAAAAAAGTTAAGCAAAATCTTCATCGCTAATGTAACTGGTTAAATAGTAACCGTATTTCCTTGAATGTCAATAAAACTGAATACATTATTTTTCATTCCCCTCAAAAAACTATTGATCATATTAAAATTAAAATTAACGGTAAAAAACTTTTTCCATCAAAATATATAAAGTATCTTGGAATATATCTTGATGAAAACCTATCTTAGTATAACCAACTGTATCATCTAAAAAAAAACTTACACGAGCTAACAGTATGCTTTCTCTAATTTGTTACTATGTTCCTCTCTTTAAACTCTTCAAATGAGTTATTTTTCTTTATTCTCTTCTCACCTTTGCTATTGTTGTATTGTTTGGGGTCAAAAAAGAAACTTTTTACTTAATAACATTGCTAGTTTACAACGCGCATCTATTAGAACAATGACGTTTTCTCCACTGAGATCTGATATTGAAAAAAAATTTTCTTAACTAAAAATCTTAAAACCCCATAATCTTGTAAAGTTTTACAATTGTCTTTTTGTGTTTGACTTTCTCCAAAATAAACTACCAAGCCCTTTTTCAAATTTTTTTATTAAAACAAACGAAGTTCATAATCATCATAGGAATATAGAAAATAGTAAGCTATACTATTCTTTTTTCAACACAATCAAATATGGTAAGTTTTCCATAAAACAACAATGTATTTCTGAATGGAACCAGTGTATTCCTGCATTAATAAAAAAGTCTAAGAAAAAATATCCACTTGTTACAAATTTTTCTGCTCAACAAAATTCAGTTTAAAAATATATTATTGGAGTGTATTTTCTTTATAATTTCTCTCTGTACTGTAGTTGTCTTCAATATATAATCTCTTTAACGAACAAGTGGTTTGATTATTATTTTATTTATTATTTACCTATCTTATATTTATTTATTATTGTGTTATTAATGTTACATTTTATGTTATTATTATATCTAATTATCATCTATGATTTGTACATACAATTTGTATTGTATTATAATATTCTTAATATTATTGGTACTTTATTATTATTGTTATTATTTTGTATTATTACTATTATTAGTACATACATCATTATTATTTGTTTAACAATCTTTTCTTCTTTTTTCTCTTATTTATATATACAGATGTTGAGTTTTTCCTTTTTTTTTTTTTTTTTCTATTTATTTATTTATTTTTTCGTGAAATTTTTATGTTTTTTAGG